CGGGGGCCTGCAGGGCGCGGGGAGCCGGGGAGGCCGGCGGAGGGGTTCGCAGTGCAGAGGTTTCGACTCTTCCGGTTTCCAGCCGGACTCGAGGCAGAGTTCTCAGAATTCCCCCCCGAGGGGCAGAAAGTTCGAGAGCTGCAGGCTGGGCGCCAGAGGGGGGACGGCAAAGCTGCACCCCTTTCCCCGGGACGGGGCCTGAGCGCAGGGCGGAATGTCTGGTGAAAGGCGATTCCCGGGAGCGAGGGAAGGGGCTTCAGGTTTCCTTGTTGGAGGAGCGGAAAGGGGCTGGGGAAAGGGGTGCGATGAGCAGCCTCCTCGGAGAAATGGACAGTTTAACCCACGCCCTGGCCCTGGAAAGCCCTCCGACTCGGACTTGTAACTTGGGAAGAAACCTTAAGAGGACCTGGCCCGACCACCTCCTGCTGCAGAGAAGGAGAAGAAGGCTCCGAGGGTGGACACTGCGGCCCATCGGGGCCGGATCTCAGCTCGCGGGCCGCCACCAGGCTCCTTAACCTCCAGCAGGTTCTCGGCCAGGAGGAGAGGTGAGGCCAGGGGCGCACGGATGCTGGAGGGCTGCCGATTTCCACTCAGCCGCCAATTTCCTGTGAGCTGTTAGGGGTGATTTTCAGCATTTTTGTGACTGGTAAATGATTTGCACTTGCTTTACTTTCAAATGATAACTTTAAGACAGAAAAGAAGTCGCACACCTACTCATCTCCTTAACGCGTGAAAAGCAGTGAGCAGTTAGGAATCTTGATGTCTGAGATGAAGATGGTGTGGGAGGCAAGCGGGATAGTTAGAAATGTTTTGTCAACCCAAACAGAAAGGCCGGGTTTGGTTTCAGGCCCTGCTACTTAGCAAGAGTGTGATCTTCAGTGTTTTGCTTGACCTTTCCGAGCATCAGTTTCCGTATTGGTTAACTAGGGTTGGAAGTACTAATCCCGGGATAAGAATGAAATCAGGTTAATGCATGCAAAGTGCTTGCCTGACACAGGTGGGTAGCACTTAAAATGTTAATTTCCTTCCTTTTTCCCCTCTCAAGTGTAACTCATTATTTGGGGAAAAAGGTGAATCAGATTTAGTCAGAACTGGAAGAGATATGAAAGAGAGATGATTTGTTTAACCATGTGTCTCTTTTCACTTGAGAAACCAAATCCCCAGTGAGTTGGCTGCCACTGATGGGGATTATTCAGTGAGCCAGGGGCGGTGCCAGGATCTGAAACCAGAGCTACAGGCAATGCCCAAAGACGTTGGCTTTTAGCGTTATAAGACACAATCCCAAGAGGAAATTGATAATAAGAACTAAATAGTTATTTTTAAACACCAATTATAGACTAACATGTATGGGCAATACTAGTATTTATCAAGTTCTAACTGCATGCTAGACGTTACCCTATAGGCTTTATATATATATTAATTTATTTCTCCTGACATCTTAATAAAGAAGGTACTCTTACCATCCCCTTTTATAGATAAGAAAATTAACTTTTGCAAGCCTGAAAATTTAGTCAGTGGGGAAACTAGTATTTGCACTCAAGTATTTTAGCTCCAGACCTGGTCTCAATCACTGCATTGTCCTTCTCCCCTTGCACTTACAATGTGTAAAATATATATTAATTTATTTCTCCTGACATCTTAATAAAGAAGGTACTCTTACCATCCCCTTTTATAGATAAGAAAATTAACTTTTGCAAGCCTGAAAATTTAGTCAGTGGGGAAACTAGTATTTGCACTCAAGTATTTTAGCTCCAGACCTGGTCTCAATCACTGCATTGTCCTTCTCCCCTTGCACTTACAATGTGACATACCAGTGTTCCCAAAGGTTTGGTCTGCGTTTTATTGTAGGGGTAATTAGGAAAAAGCAAAACAAATGGAACAGGAGTTTGGAATAAAAGCGTTTTACCCTCAAGAATCCAAGAAAGTCATTGAGGGGTGTGTCAGCTAATTGGTGTTTCTCGGCTCCTAATTCATCTTCTTTGCCCTAAGTTGTGATATTAGAGTTAGAACCTATGAACATTTCTTTGATGTTAGTTGGTATAGTGTTAGGACTTGTCAGTAGAAGGTGCCAGAGGGACCCTACATAAAAAGGGGACTTCTCTTCTTGGTCCCAGTGCTTTTCTTCTTGCTTCTATGGTGTAGTGGTGGGTGGCTTTCTGGCCAGTGATGGGCAAGAAACCAGTGTTTTACACCCTCCAGTAAGTTCAGCGAGTTCTCTAGTGTGTGGCTTCCCAGTAAGCCTTGCTGGAGTCCAAGGGGGTAGTTTCCTAGCACATTTCACTGGCACCCCCGCTGGTGGTTTCCTCACCAGCCCAGTCTGTGACACCTCAACCAATTTTTTGGCCATCAAGTGGGCTGCAGGCACATTATTCCCAATGAGAACATGGGTGGGGATTGGGGAATTCTTTTAAATTATCCCACACCCCTGGAGGCACCCGGGACTCTGGCTTCCCTGGCAGCTCGGGCTTCATCCGGAAGATGGAAGATTGTCCGGAAGGATGTCCAGTCTAATTAGCATATGACTCTTTTTTTATTATAGATTTCTCCTGATTTCTGTCTCCTGACTGGCCCTTGACTGATACAAGGCTAAAGAGATCATGTAGATCATGTAGAACACTGAGTAGAATTTTGTCCCTGGAGTCAGAAGTTGGCATCCTGTCTGTAGCTGTGCAAACTTGACTAAGTCACTTAAACTCCCAGAGCTTGTCCCCTCATTTGTAAAAAATGTATGACAATGCCGAAACCGGTTTGGCTCAGTGGATAGAGCGTCGGCCTGCGGACTGAGGGGTCCTGGGTTCGATTCTGGTCAAGGGCATGTACCTGGGTTGCGGGCACATTCCCAGTGGGAGATGTGCAGGAGGCAGCTGATCGATGTTTCTCTCTCATCGATGTTTCTGACTCTCTATCTCTCTCCCTTCCTCTCTGTAAAAAATCAATAAAATATATTTTTTTTAAAAAAGCCTAATAGTTTCTTAAAAAAAATGTATGACAAGGTTTTGTGAGCATCATGTAAAGTTTCTTAAAAAATGTATGACAAGGTTTTGTGAGCATCATGTAAAATTTGAAAGCACTTTAATTGCATTTAAATGTGAGTGCACTTTAAACCTGTAAAGTGCTATCACAAGTAAAGGTGTTAATTATCAGTATAGGAACAGAGGGTAGCAAAGAAGAAGATTTTCTTTAAGAAAAAAATTGCATGCATTCTGGTACTTAGTTTGTTTCCTGGGGGGTAAAAGCAGCATTTTCTCTAGGATTTATTCTCATCAAATAAATATATTATTGGTTGGTTGGTTGGCTGGTTGGTTAGTTGACTTTGCCTAGCTTTTGAAAGATAAAAATAATTTCTAGTCTCAAGTAGTTCAAGTTTCCAGCTCTATGAAAAATACAACTACAATTACAAACATTTTGAAATGCTAGATTCAGACTAATTTGTTTACTTTCTAGTCTGGTATCCTTCATATTTGCTTTATTCTTATTTTGTCTCCTGTACCCTTTCTGGGTATAATGTCTGTGTCAAGAAAGAATTATTTCATTGCTGAGCACTCTATGTGTAAAGCATGGCACTAGATATTGCATGCTATTCCAAAAGAAAAATAGTTTAGGAGTCTTAAATGCTCAAGAAAGAAAAGCATGTGTGCATTCAGTCTTTAGAAGAGTTCTCTGAGGTAAATGCTTGTGGGAGATTCTACCCCATCCCCGTGGATCCCTCCGATTGGGTCTGGGTGCCCTTCCCCCAGCTTCTGTGTTCTTTTATTTCTCACAGCCATCCCCTGCCACTCTTTGGAAGATTGCCCAAAAGCTCCTGGATTCACTTTGCCTTCAGGCACAGACAGCCAGAGAGAACCATCTGGGAGTTAACTTTCCTCCCAGTGCACCTTTCCCAAGGACTGCCCTACAGAGCAGAAAAGCCCAGCCCTATTGCCTCGAATAGCAAGAAAACTTGAGATGTCATTTATACCCCAAAGCTCCCCTGCAGGATCATGCTGATGCGAGGGTTTTGCCTGAAATCACTTCCCTCCATATCTTGTTTACTCTGGTAACTTAGGTATTTTTTCCTGGAGGCATCTCCTTAATAAATCATGTGCACGCAATCCTCATCTTAGGGTCTGATTCTGGGGATCCTGACCTACAACATTACTATTCCTTTTTACAGACCAAGAAACGGAGGTTCGGGTGTTTTAAACTGCCCAAAGTTACTCTCCCAATAAAAGGAAGGAGTTTTGATCTGATCCATGTCTGTGTGACTCTAAAGTTCCCATTCCTAATGCAGTGTTACTTTTAAAGAACCTAATACTGAGTTTTAATTAACTATCTAAGTAGAAGTGGACACAAGATGCTGCAATTGATCGATGGACAGAATATTGCATCCCTATAAGATCTCTGTGTTTGAGGATAAATAATAAGGGCCATAGGCAGTAAGACCAAAGCATGGTGCACCCCCATCAGAGACCTACCTGACCAGAAGTATGAAGACATGTCCCACATTTTAGTAGAGTGTAAATGTCCAATGTGATTTTCAGGCAAGGGCTTTCTTCATGCTAAGGTTGAATTGGATATTTATATTTTTCCTATTGCTTCTATAACAAACTACCATAGATTTGGTGTTTTAAAATAAATTTATTATCTACAGTTGTGGAGGCCATAAGTGCAAAATAAGTCTTGTTGGGCTAAAATTAAGACATAGGAGAGACTATGTTCCTTCTGGATCTCTAGGAGAGAGTTCTGTTTCTTGCACTTTCCTGCCCTCAGAGGCCACCTGAACTCTTTGGTTTGTGGCCCCCTTATTCTGTCTTCAAAGCCAGCAACAGCAGGTCAATCCTGCTCATATTTTATCACTGATACTGACTCCCCTGCCTCCCTCCTCCAATTTTCAGGACTCTCTATCAGGCCCACCCAAATAGTCTCCTTATTTTAAAATCCGATGATTATCCATTTTAGTTCCATCTGTAACCTTAATTTCCCTTTGCCTCTTGATGTTCCTCAGTAGTAGGTTTAGGGGATTAGACTCCACCAAACACATGCACAGAATTGTATATTTTATTTGGTATTTTATCAAATTACATTATAGTGCTAATTTTCTTTACCTCAAAATCTTAAATATTGTAGTGATTGTAAATCTTGGGTTTATGTCAATTAAATTAGCCTGGAAGAATCAGAACTGTTTCATTTTAGTCTAGAATTAATGTTCATTGGTTGTGCTTCTGCATTTCATAGAACTATTTTACTATTTTTCAGTATTGGTCGTAGTATTGAGAGGTAATATCTGGTCCAATGTCTGTGCAACTCAGGAACTTACTCAAACAGCAGTCAGTTCGTCACCTAGCCCTGTGCAAACAATCTGAGGAAAGGTAAAATTTGACTATTTAAAATCTATCTGATTATTAGATCATTTCAGTTGCTAGAAATTTCTGCACGTACCTCTTTCTGTGAAATTCATGGACATGCAATATATACAAAGTGGGGAAAGAACTGAAAAATCATTTAAATCATTGCCCCATCTAAACTACAGAGTTCACAAGATGTGGAGGAATTTGACCAGCTCAATAAGACAAGAAAATATTTTTTGGTTCTTTGACTTTAAAATCATTGCAATATTTTATGTAAATGATAATGAGTAAGACCTCTTTATGCTTTTGTTACCTTATTCGGCAAATGCACAAAATAGAACAAAATAACATTGTTTGGATCTGGAAATGTATGCTTCTTATGCAGTGTTACATAGTCATACTTCCTGAATGTCAATATCTGAATTTATATTTCAGTTTTATGTTTTTGCCTGTTACTTATTTGGTGCTTGTCAATCTTTTATCATCACTTCATATTCTACTGATCTCAAAAAGATATTCTCATACCTTTTATACACTTCCTTACTAGATTTTTTTAAAGGTTTCAAAAATTCTGGTACTTTGAGTTCATGCCATCAAGTAGCTATATTTATCACTCCCTTTTTATTTGTGTTCTATTGGTGCCACTTTTTACTTTATGATTCTAAATCTTTTAAAACCATCTTACCATTTTTTCATGCCTTTATCCTTATAGAGAATTCCATCTCCAAAACACTATTTCTTACTTTTCTAACTACTTGTATTTTTTCCTATGATTTATTCCTTCTGTTTTCCAAATGGGGAGCTTAATTTATCTTTTTTCCCTATAGCTCCTCTTATTTTGTCTTCAGTTTCCCATTAATTTTCATTATAAATGCTATAATAAATTCAAAGTATTCTACATGTATTTTTAATATGATGTCTACTGCCCATATTCTAATCCTGCCTATTATTTCTGTCCTTTTGTTATTGATTTAAAATGACAACAGTTTTTATTACAAGGATGCAAAAGAATCAACAAAGGGACAGTATTATCATGGGCTTATTTTTTGTCAGTGGTGAAAAATCTTGTAGGTGTAAAGGAAGTTATGGAAAGAAAGTGAACATATTCTGTTTTAAAATAGTGAGGAATAGTCAGATGTATTTTCTAGTCTTTGGAAAGCATATTTCAAAAAAATTCAAAGAAAAGTTCATCATGTTTCTTATCCAGATGATTGAGAAGCAGAAAATGCTAATGAACATTTGGTGACAATGAGAATGTAATTCTGATCATACTTATTTTAATGATTTTGAAAACTTTTTCAAACACTATTCTGTGTGGCATGATATGTTTTTAACCATTTTGAGTGTTATAGATGTCTTTCAAAATACGATGAATACTAGTGATCTTATCCCACCCTTCTCTCTCTACCACAAATGCATATGTACATGTATCTTCCAAATATTACATATAATTTCATGTAACTTATAGATCCATTAAAGAGATTCTTTGAAAGTCCAGCTTAAATAAACCTTTTACTTATGTAAAGTTTTTTATCTATACATAATCAGCTAATAGTAATCTTATCTGATGAACTCCATTGAAATGGTACCTGATCCTTTTCATCACATTTTTTTCTGCCTTGTATTATAACATTCTAGTCGTATCACAGCATCACTGCTGGCCGGGTCATGAGAGCATAGCTTCTAGTTTGTATTCCTCACAGAAGTTGAATGAATGACAGAAAATACAATAGCAGAAAAAATGAAGACACATAACTACAATGAATATGAAAGGGTTAACTAGATCTACTAAGCACAGAATCAACTAATACCAGTAAAGTAAATCCAGAATTTAAAAGTGTATCTTAAAAGATCAAGAACAGCAAGAAGTTTGCCATCTGGGAAGGTATTAACGTATTAAAGATAATTATATAACATTTTATCTATCAAGAGGAATAATTTTAAGCACGAAAAGGGGCGGACAAATTTCTTTAAAAGAAAATTGTAGTTTAAGATGAGACATGGGATAACTTGAAATCATTTAATTGCTTCAGAAGATTTTAATTTTTCAACTTCTGTCAGGTCCTAGAGCAATAAAAGAATCAGGAAGTCAGGCAAGCCATTGTCTGTAATCTCTGAAAAAAAGTGGACATTAAGAGATTCAGTAGAAGATGGGTGAAAAGCAAAACTATCATGATTTTCCAAAGAGGAGAAAAATGAACTCCAGAAACTATATAAAACAAAAATTAGGACATCAAGAAAAAGAAGTTATAACATGAAACTAGTCTAGCTTCATAAATAAGTCAAATTTAAAAATGCACATTTTTACTTATAAAGCGTAACTTGTTTGTTGTGGATCCATGTTAGCTTAATCATTAGTCATTAATGCCATCATTGTTTTCCTGTGTCTGCAATGAATACTCAAAGACCAGGCTTCCATCATTTTGTTTAGTATCTTAAAGTGTCGCTTCAGTTTGCAAATGCTCTTTTAACACATTCTCCACATCTGGCTTGACCGGGACACACAAAATAGGTTTATTACTTCCCTCTCATGAGCACTCAGTATTTAAAATATGTTCTTCCGATCAACTGCTCAGATTGTTGCCTCATAATAATTTTGTATTATGATCCTTTTTCTAAACTTCTTCTAAGCCTTTTCTTTAATAATTTACTGACCCCAAAACTATCAGATATTTGAAGACCACTACCGCAACTTAATATTGTAAATTTATAATTCAAACTTAATCAGCATACTTAATGTACAATACACTTTGTATAAATAGAAATATACTATTAATAAATATAATCGAAAATTTTATATAAATGTACGATACATTTTAACCCATGTTATTTAATGACAATTATGAATATTTTACCTACACTTAGTATTGGTTGTGATATTGGTCAATTACTAGTTATATATGGTCTAGATTTAGATTAATTTCATCCGATTGTGAGTCTTACATAATTTGCATATATCGAAGTATTTTATAGTATAATAACAGCCATTTTACTAAAATTTCAAAATTTTGAGGACATAATGCTATTATGTTTTTTTTTACTTTAGGCTGTATTTAAAATATTATTTATATTGTCACAAGTGTCTTGATAGGAGAACTAGAAATAAGGAAATGTTTTCTTAAATAACAATAGGTGTTGAAAAGGTAAAGGCTTCTATATACTCAGTCTGTTTGATCATGTAACTGCAGGAGGTTAGGGACTCATTCAAACACTGTACAGACCTCAAGAAGAACAAACACTGCATTTGCATCTTTAAGGCTAGAAAATATTTTAAAGGATGTCATTTTATGTTTACCTATAAACATTCTCTGAAGCTCCCATTTTAGCAGGAAGCTAAATAAAAGAATTTTAAGTTTTCCCAGTACTAATGGAGATTTACTTCATAGTCCTTTTCTCTGGAGACAAATATAGGTCTCTCCTCAAGGGTTGGTAGATTTGCACATAAGGTATGATTTAAAGGGCCAAAAACATCTTTTCTGCTCTTTCCAGATGCTTCACTATGTCTTGTCATATTGCCTGATAATTTTGCCTTAGAGACTTATCCTTTTGAGATAATAGAATGCAAATGTCTCTGAAAGGGTATTTTCTGCTTTAGTCACACTCATATGGCTACTAGTGAACAAAATACATTCATTACAGGATAAAGGGAAGATTGCCAACTAACAAATCTCTAGAGCAGTGGTTCTCAACCTTCCTAATGCTGCGACCCTTTAATACAGTTCCTCATGTTGTGGTGACCCCCAACCATAAAATTATTTTCGTTGCTACTTCATAACTGTAATTTTGCTACTGTTATGAATCATAAAGTAAATATTTGATATGCAGGATGTATTTTCATTGTTACAAATTGAACATAATTAAAGCATAGTGATTAATCACAAAAACAATATGTAATTATATATGTGTTTTCCGATGGTCTTAGGCGACCCCTGTGAAAGGGTCGTTCGACCCCCAAAGGGGTCGCGACTGGTATTTGTCTTACCGCTGCTCTAGAGTATGTACTGCACCAAACATTGCTTAGCAATTTCCATGATTTTCTCAGTCTAGCTTATAAGAATAAAGAGATTAAACATCAAGGGGATATGGGTATGATACATAAAATTGTACAATTGGTATTTATTCTGTGTTTCTAATATATCTATTGGTTTATAAACAAAGGAAATAGAATACTAACAAGTGGGTGTGGTGGTAGGGCGGGTACTACTTTACTTGGGTGGTATGGATAGGCCTCTCCTAAGAAGCGATATTTTTAAATAACTTTAAAATTTATTTTTCAATTACAGTATACATTCTTCATTATTTTGTGTTAGTTTCAGGTGTAAAGCATAATAACCAGATAATCAAATCTTTACAAAGTATTCCCCTGATATTTCCAGTGCCCACCTGGCACCACAAATAGCCATTACAATATTATTGACAGTATTCCCTATGCTATACCTTACTTCCTCATGACTATCTTGCAGTTACCAATCTGTACTTCCCAATCCCTTTACCCAGACTTCCAAACCCCCCTCTCCTTCAGCAACCATCAGTTTGTTCTCTGTGCTTATGAGTCTGCCTCAATTCAGTTTATTTTGTTCTTTAGACTTCACATATAAGTGAAATCATATGGTATTTGTCTTTCTCTAACTGACTTATTTCACTTAGCATAATACCCTCTAATTCCATCCATTTTGCTGCAAATGGTAAGATTTCATCCTTTTTATGGCAGATTTTTTTCCCTTTAATATATGTACCACAACTTTTTTATCCACTCATCTATTCGTGGGCACTTTGGTTGCTTTCATAGTTTGGCTATTGTAAATAACACTGCAATGAACATAGGGGGGCATATACCCTTTGGAATTACTGTTTGGGTTTCTTCATATACCCAGAAGTGGGTCATAAGGCAGTTTCATTTTTTTATTTTTTGAGGATCCTCCATACTGTTTTCCATAGTTGCTGCACCAATCTGCATTCCACCAACAGTGCACCAGGGGTCCCTTTTCTCCACATCCTAGCTAGTACTTGTTTTGTTTGTG